CCTCCCTCTTCTGGTTTTTGCTCCCTCCCTTCTTGCTTCCCTTCTGTCCTTCTGCCTCACTTGACGTGGCAGTGGAAAGCTAACTAGACTCGAGGGAGGAGCTTGCTGGCTGCTGGGAAGGCCGGAGTTTGGCAGGAAGCAGGGGCTGACGGATGGGGTTGCGCGGGGGAAAGGAAGGTTCCCTACCCCGCATGGAAACTTGAGGAATGCTGTCGCTTTCTGTGCCTCTTGGCTCCCACGTAACGATTCCAGATGTTAGTCCCAGCCCGTGTGGTTTGCTCCCTCTCCTTGTGCTGCGGGGATAAAGAGGGCTTTATGAACACCCCGTGTCTCCCTTCCAGGATACCTTCTCTTGTGTGGATGGTTAAGATCAGTGGCTGAAAATATGAACACTCACCTGCATAAAAGTAAAGCCTTTTAGGTATATCAGCTGAAATAATGTACAGATTGAAACCTGCAGCCAAGTGCAAGCCTAGGAAGCCATCAGAGCGTTTATGAGAAAGCACGGGCAGAAACTGAGTAGCTTAAGAGAGACCACAGTGCCCAAAACTGGACTGTCGTGACCTCTCTAAGGTCAGGACAATGCCCACCAGTCTTCACAAGGGACAACTGGGCATTTCTTCCCACACCTGTCCCCGTGCCAGGGCAGGGATGAACCAGCCCTGAGTACTGGACTTGCTTTGCTAAGGTAAAGCACAACACACACAAAGAATTACTCACCTCCAGGAGTGGGTTATTTACCCTTCCCCAGCGCAGAGTTGGAGTCAGTGTGGGAGTTCACTGCCCTGACCTTAGAGAGGTCACAACAGTCCAGTTTTGGGCACTGTGGTCTCTCTTAAGCTACTCAGTTTCTGCCCGTGCTTTCTCATAAACGCTCTGATGGCTTCCTAGGCTTGCACTTGGCTGCAGGTTTCAATCTGTACATTATTTCAGCTGATGTACCTAAAAGGCTTTACTTTTATGCAGGTGAGTTAATTACTACTGCTCTGCTTACTAAGCCAAGTAACGGCTGTGGTTAATCACACCAGTCCAGGTCTAGTGTCTCCAGAGCTTTTGAACTAAATCAGCTTAAAATCTTAGGATGTGTTGTTTAAGTTAAACCAAGGCAGCATTCTAATGTAAACAAGCCATTACAGCTGCTCTGCAGCTTGGAGGAGTCATCAGTGTCCCATAAATTATGCTCTGAGGGTAAAAGTGCTACAGGTGGGCTGTGTCTGGGAAAGCTGGTCTCAAGATGTGTGTATGTAGTGGGATGACCAGGGCTTCCTGGAAGAATCACAGCTCAGAAATTCAGCTCTTCTGCTTTGCTAAGGCAAGAAGTAGAAGGTGGTTGGTAACATCTTGCTTAGGGGGGTGAAGTGGTGGTTCAGCTTGAAATGCTCAGCTAAGTTGCTTTCAGATATTCCAGACTGTTTTTCAGAGACTCCTTCCTTATAATCTTTTAGTGTGCATGTATTCATGCCGTGTGTTTATTATAAACTATTATGTTAATGTCTATTATAAATTATGATGTTAATGTTTCTCCATTTGAGTTTTATTACTGGAGTTCCCAAAGTGCTGTGCATGTGTTTAACACAAATGATTTGACTGAAACTCCAGTCATCTCTGGGGCAGGTTTGTTTACCCGTAGTGCTTTACATCTTACAAGAAGGAAAGGAGATTAAGAGGTTTAAGCAAGATGAATTTCTCCTAATTTCACACAGCCCCCAATTAAAACAATGGCAGTGCCTTCTCCCATATCCACAGACTCTCATCTCTGTGCAGAAGAAGGTGTTTGTCATAACAGCTACAGGGAAACCTTTAATTAGTTTATTTGTGCTCTAATGCAAACTGAGACCTAATAATTCTGCCAATTGCTTTCTTGTGCCGTGAGTGCCAATTTCCAACCCTAGGGGAGCCCACACATGCATCTGTTGGCTTCGTTTCACATGTATCCAAGAGCAGGAAAATTTACCTTGCTGCTGAGGCAGTCCAGGCGAATGGAGGGAATGCTTGGAGTCAGGCTGGCTGGCTGCCTGCTGGATTCTGTGAACTTCTTGTGGGTTATTGCCTCCAGGGTAGCAACAAATAATTCAGGTGATAGTGCAAACCATTGCTGCACCTGGCCAAAACCCATCTCTAGGATTGAGCCACCTTAAGGAGATGGGCAGCACCAATAAGGACATTGGAATATCAGGCTGCAACTGCAGCATCCCCTTTTTTCCTCCAGTTGTTGTGCTTTCCACCCCACGGTTGGAATGGCTGATGGATCCTGGTCAGCTTCCTGGAAAAGAAGTGTATTTTCTTTCTCTGGTGGATGCAAAGCACAGAGCCATATGGCTGGATCTGCACTGTGCCGGGGGCGGGGGAATAATCCTCTGGCACTTATCCTGCCTGTGCAAGGAGCTCGCAGCCATCTCTTCCTGCAGGTCTCCATGCAGGCAGTGTGACTCCCGTTGGGAGCAGCCCTGAGGAGGGGTAGTTAACCCTGTTAACTACAACATTCCCCAGCCAACACTGAGCACCATCTTCTGCTTTGTACACTCTGGGGGCTTCTGCCACTCCACCACCTCTCCTTGGCCTCGTGGCTCTCCAGATTAACTCACAGCCAACAAGCACATTTTACATAACACATACTCTGCTGCTGAGGGAGAGTTTTACCTGATTGTTTTCCCCCCTTTTCTTATCAATGAGGGGAGATACGGGCAACATAAGCCTCTTGGGATCAGACAGTTTCAGAGATCAGACATTTGAATGTAGTATTTCACAAGCTGCTTTCCCATTTTGGTATGTGCTGGCTCTTCCCTCTCCTCCCCCCCCCATTCCAAGTCTGGAAAGCTAGAGAGAGAGAAGCCCTTTTCCCCTCTTGGCCAGGATGCTGCTCAGCCATAGCACATACTGCCAGATTGCTAACATATGGGCAGAGGGCTCAGCCAAAGTTTTGAGAGGCTCAGCCCTTGGCAGCTCGTTCCACACTTTCCTGTCTCTACATTCAGGAAATGAAGTCAGAGTGTTGATATAAAACAGGCTGGGTTGAAAACTGAGAAGCTGGAAAGGCTGAGGAGGGGGACTGGGAAGGGGGAGGTGTGGGGAGATGGGGAGCTGCGGGGGCTCGTTGCAGCGTGTCTGCCTTTGTGGCTTCTTGTGCCAGTGTCCTCCATTTGATTGCTCTTGCTGCCTCTGAGTCGAGGACCGATATTTTTGTGCTGGCAGACAGATATTTGTGTCTTTCCTCTCGTGTATGGAAAGATCAGCATGTGGAGATAGTGTTGTCTTGGTCACGTGGCAGCGTTTATGCGAGAGCTTGGAAGGGGTGAAAGTTGAAACTCTGGCAAAGAGTGTGTTGTTTCCATATCTGGGACACGGAATTCCCTTAACTTTTGACTTCTTTTCCTGAAGAATGACACCATTGCGAAATTTCTATGGAATTCTGTGGTTCTGATGCAAAAGATTTTTCTCAGTCAATTTTAACATCAGGTTTTTTCTCTTTTTTTTTTTTTTTTTTTTTTTTTTACTAGCCCAGAGACTGTGGGATGAATGCAGGGAGGTCCAGTTAAGTGAGACTGCAGTGGGGCTGGTCTGGCTTGCCCAGGGACTCAGCAGTTGGTTTACTTCACTTCTAGGTCACTAGTTCAGCCTAAATCAGCACAGTAATAACCCACAGTAATAGAAAGCTGGAAGCTGTTTGTGGCTTGCAGAATGTGAAGTGGTCTGTGTGGCTCAGAGACCAGCACCTGGCTGACAGCAGGATGTGTGCCCATCAGAAACTTGTGCCCACATCTAATCAGAACAATCAGCAGCGTTAAAAAGCCCAGGGAAATTTGCTTGGAAGAACTCTCCTGCTTTCATAGCCTGGCATGTCTGAGAGTCTGGCAGCTGCCCAAGTGATCTCTTCTATTTTCTAGCCGCTGGTTTTTGGGATATTCTCGTTGCACACGTTTTGTAATGCATTGGAATAGTTTGATCTTTGGGGTATCTCTGAACTGTGAAGTGCTGGTATCCTTAACAATCTCAAGTAAGTTTAACTAAAGCTTAAGAGGATGTTAGGCTGGACTTGCCATCCCCTGGGTGTTTGAGCTCAGCAGCTCTGTCACCTTTACCTGCTGCTCTGCCCTGCCTGTCCTTGCTGGACAGCTCTTCAGGATCTCTGTTCCCTGACCGTCTTTGTTTTCCATTCTTGTTTCCCCCGAGAGCGATCATGTTTTGTTTTTTCCTGCCAAGAAAGGTCTACAAACACGCCAGATCTCACAAGGGGACAGTCACACATGCTTGCTTGCACACAGAAGTGTGCTTTGTTTTTGTTTTAGTCTTGGATAGCTGCGTTCTGCCTTTTGGAGACCAGTGTGAGGGCTCCCTCTCTTGTTGTGTTGGGGTATAATTCGCAGCTGGAACAGGATGCTCTAAATGTGGGCTTTAAATCAAACTCCCATTAATTTGCTGTAGATTCAGATTTGAGACTAAGAAGGCAGAATGATTTCTGACTTGCTTTCTGAATGCAAATGTAAAAATTTAGATTGAGTTTTGGTTGGGTTTTTTTGGAGGGTTTTTTGTGATTTTTGTTGGTTGGTTGGTTTTGAGTGTGTGGGGGTTGTTGGTTTGGTTTTTTGTTTGTTTTGTGTTGGGGGGGTTTGTTTGTTTGTTGGGTTTTGGTTTTTTTTTTTAAGTGAAGATGATACCTAGGGTCAAAAACAGAGTTTGGTGTTTGGATGCCTTGTTCTGAGTTTAGCTAGAAATGGCTGGAGAATTGTTGGTGCATTTCCTCTGAAACACAGGATGCTTGAAGCTGTCTCAGTCTGGGCACTGAATTCCAGTTTTTTACCATTCACCAATGGTAAACTGCCCATTTTTTGAGCTTGTAATAATTCAGAGTATGAGGTCCTCTTTTCCCACAGACTTTAGGGAACAGAGGACCTGGCTTTGAGGATGCCTCCCTGGTGATATGGGGGCTGTGGGCTGATGCTCCTGTCAGAGTAGAGGCTTTTCTGGAGCAGTGAGTGACTTGTTACCAATTCCCTTTTCAGGAGAAGGAGAAGAAGTACATGTTACCAGTGGATAACCTGAAACTGCGAGATGTGGAGAAGGGGTTCATGTCTAGCAAGCACATCTTTGCTCTCTTCAACACTGAACAGAGGTATGCTCCCATCTTGACACATCCCATCCCTGCTGAAACCAGGGACAGGATTTATGTAATATTAGATAGGAGAGAGTAGAGATGAGTGTGTTTGGGTATCTGTCCAGGAAAAATGTGTGTATCCTTTCAGAACAGAAATTTTTGAAGGAGATGGGGGGGACTCTTTAAAAAGAGTCTTGACTATGAACTATTTTTTTGCCAGTGCATGGCTTGTGGTGTGACCATACCCTTCAGCTTTTTGGTGTGGTTATATATACCTGAGTCTGGAGTATGTGTTTATAATCACAATATGCTTGGTGAGTGACTAGGGAAAGGCATAGGAGACAGGGGACCCAAGATGGCTGGAGAAGTCCAGCAGTGAACAGGATTGAAAAGGGAAACTCTTTCAGGCCCTGTTGAAACACACAAGTGATTTGGGGGCCGTCAAACCAGCTCAAAAAAATTAATTCCCTTTCCCTTTTTCAGAGTCATCATGAGGATCCGAACAAGGGGCTGAGTGTCTCTGTCTTAAAATGAGGGAGGATTCCCTGCTCATTGATTCTCTCTGTCAAATATGGGCAAACCTCGGAGTTGCACTAGGGAATAATAAAAGGTGTGTCTTTCAGGAATGTTTACAAGGATTACCGGCAGCTGGAGCTGGCCTGTGAGACCCAGGAGGAGGTGGATAGCTGGAAAGCCTCCTTCCTTCGTGCAGGAGTGTACCCAGAGCGTGTTGGGGTGAGTTCCAGCCACAGTAATGGGATGGGGAGGAGCACAGCGTGTATCTTAAGAAGGATAGCTGCATTCCCTGTGTTAAAAATAAGCCTGTGGAGGTTTGACTTTTTTTTTTCCTGAGCTGAGAATCTTTTAGAACAAAAAAAATTTTTTGGTATGTCCTGGTGCTTCCTTTAAGGAAACTTAGCATAAAGTAGGAAAAGTCTGTATTGATAAACCCCTCCAGCTGTCTTGTTTTGTGGGCATTAAATTCCCAATATTAGGGTGACATTTAACTTCCTGAGTACTAAGTGATATGTATCTACTGAGCAAAGGCACCATTCCCTTTTGGTAACACTTAACTGTACAGCCTTGTTAGGAACTTCCTGGCTTTAGTAGTTGTTCTCCCATTCCTTCCTCCAACCAAGTAGGAAGGGATATTTCTAGAATTTTTCTTTTGCTTGGTAGATACCCTAATTATGCTACTGTGGCAAGAACTCTTATCTCTTGTCTTTCCCTTGTCCCACAGCACTTGCTGTCAGCGTTTTGCTCTGCTTTAAAAGTATATTCTAGACAATTGTGGTATTTGTTTCTGTTCAAAGCCTTTCCTGTTCCTGCATGAGAGGAAGCTGCTATAAATAGTTTTCCCATAGAAAAGTGATAATTGTTTTTCTGTTTGTATTTGTTGCTTCTAATAGATTTCTTGCATTCATCTTTCCTTTTACACTTGAATATTGTTGGTTTTTGCCTTAAAGCACTTCCTAACAAACTGATATGATCTTAAAAAAAGGGGATTAGGAACTGGACTTTAAGTGACGTGACTTCAGATTGACTTTGAACCAAACTGAGCCTCTTCACCACAGTGGCCATGTGCCACCTATTGGTGTGCAAGTGGGGGGGCTTGACATGGGAACACTGATCCCTGTCCCAAAACCCCATGTAAGGAATGACAGGTAGACACTGCAGGTAAGTAAATTGCCCTTTGTTGATAACAATATGGTTTCCTTTACAGAACATCCCATTTTGATTTGCAGTTTAGCTAAACAGTTCACTTGTTCCTCTTCCAGGGTAATAGAGGTATTGATGTATTTTTAGTGGGATTGGTCTTTTGCTTGTCAGTGCTATTATGGGATCTTCACCCAATTCTGAGACCAACTAAAAGTCATCTTTTATTTTTTGTCCCTTTTTGTTTTAATTTTTTCCACGTATGCTCAAACTGGCCTGCCAGGACAAGGACAAAGTAAGTCTGACCCTCTCTGCCTGTGTTGCCCCCTGGGGCTCTCACCAGATAGTTCTCTCATTTTTTTTTTCTCCTTTTGTCACCATTTCCTGAGAGGCATTTGCTTCTTCTCCCTCTTTATACCCTCTGTTGGATTCCTGCTGTCTGTTTCAGTTCTTGGTTTGAGTTTTCCTTTTTTCTTTTTATTCCTCCCTTTTTGTATGACTTCTGAATCTTGGTGCAAGCTTATTTTTGGGGGTTTTTTCACCCTCTTTATTTTTTTTTAAGTTGTCCTGCTTGACATCCACTTCCTTTACTTTGTTTCACACTGAGACCTTGCATTCCTTCATTATGTAAGATCTTCTCAGGAAAAACTCAAATGAACAAAAGGATTTGCCCTTTCTCTTATATTTTGGTCCCCAAAACAAAAGAGAAGCCATTTCCTACATGGCTGCAGATTGTTCAGACTAGGGTGGTTTAAAACAAAGATATTTCATCATACAATAGAGGGGGTTTTAAAATAAGCACTGAGGAAGGCAGCAGCCTTTCACCCTTGGATGCTTTGAAATCGATCCCCGATGGATGCCCCTTGGCAACTGCTTGCTGTCAAACAGCACAGTCCAGGTTTTGCCTTACAGAATAAACAATGTGTTTCAGGCAGACAGGAAGAGATTCATCTGCTTGATGTGAAAGAAAAGCTAATTGTAATTTGCAGTGCAGGACTTACAGTTGAAGTGATCAGGCCAATTTTCTAGGTTATTGTGGTCAGCTGAGATGGGCAGTTACTTCTCTGTATCTGTTTTCTCATTTGTATAATGAGGATAAAGATGCAGCATGTGAGAGAGCCTGTGAGGCTTAATTTATGGTGAGTGATTCTTGGGTCTTAACTGAAGCTGGACATGGAAAACCCAGCTCAGATGAAGAACCTTTCAAGAAGCTGTGAGCATTAAAAGTAATAACACAGCTCAGTTATCCACAGAGCCATAACCTGTGGATGCTGGTCAGGGGTCCCTGTTGCCTTTCACCTTTGTTTAATAACTTTCTACTAAAAGAGCAGCTTTATTGTTAAAGCTCCTCAGGTGTGAGCTGGAGAAGTCTGTACGAACTGAGCTGTGAATTGAAAATCACAGCTCAAAATGTAAGTTTAAATAAGCTTTATTTATTGCATGTGCTTCCTGCCTGTTCCCTTCTATTCTTCTCTCAGCTCTCATGAAAAGCTAATTCTGTGTTGCATTTGAAGAACCAATCTGTTTCTCCTTTTCTCTGCAGGCCAGTGAGGCAGAGGAGAATGGAGGAGACAGTTTCATGCACTCCATGGACCCTCAGCTGGAGAGACAAGTGGAAACGATCAGGAACCTGGTGGATTCCTACATGGCAATTGTCAACAAAACCATCAGAGACCTCATGCCGAAGACAATCATGCACCTCATGATAAACAATGTACTTATCACACTGTGGTCAGTGGAGAGACAGGGGAGGGGAAAAATAGGGAGGGAGAGGAAGAATGAAGAAAAACGGGAAGGAGGAAGAGGTGGGGGCAGAATTAGTTAGTTAGGAGTGTTCAGGGCGAAATGGTGGAAACTGATTCCCTCTCTGTGCTCATTTTACAGACTAAGGACTTCATCCACTCAGAGCTGCTGGCGAACCTGTACTCGTGTGGCGACCAAAACACGCTGATGGAGGAGTCGGCGGAGCAGGCCCAGCGACGCGACGAGATGCTGCGCATGTACCACGCCCTGAAGGAGGCCCTCAACATCATCGGGGACATCAACACCAGCACCATCAGCACCCCCATGCCCCCACCGGTGGACGACTCCTGGCTGCAGGTGCAGAGCGTACCGTCCGGACGCAGGTACCTGAGGCTCAGGGGGAGAGCCCCGCAGCCCTGCCTGACGCCTCTTCAGAGCCTCCTGCTGAGACAGGGAGTCTTCCTCTTCCCCTCTTCTCCCTGTGGATGAAGAGCCCTGGGTATTCCTGCTGGGAGGCTATGTAGGGCTGCTGTGTCTTCACAGAGGTGTTGGAACATTCTAAACCCTCAGGTTGGATGGGGTTGACGTAGCTTTGAGGGCAGCCTGGAGCCTGGCTTGGCCCTTGGAAGACAAACGGGGGATGTGAAGCGATGTGACACTAAAGAGGGAACACTGAAGGCAGCGTGTGGGGTCCTGAACAGGGCAGAGGGATCCCAGGGCTGTTGTTGCAGTTGGATGCCTCTGCTTGTTTTCCAGGTCTCCCACGTCCAGCCCCACTCCTCAGAGGAGAGCTCCGGCAGTGCCGCCCGCCAGACCTGGGTCTCGCGGACCAGCTCCTGGGCCACCTCCTGCTGGTGGGTCCACGCTGGGTGGTGCCCCCCCTGTGCCCTCCAGGCCAGGTGCCTCTCCTGATCCCTTCGGGCCCCCACCTCAGGTTCCTTCTCGGCCTAACCGTGCTCCTCCTGGTGTTCCCAGGTAAGTCCTGGCATGCTGCTCCTCGCAGGTGGGATATGTTCTGGTTTTGAGAAGGAGCCTTGGCAGCACTTGGCCTGCCTGGGCCATGGGAGGAGAATGGAGTGCATGGTGTGGGTACAGCCTTTGGATATTTCAATTGGATCCAGAGGCAGGAGCATTGTTTTCCATTGAGATTTCATTGTACGGATAAGGCAATGCCAAGGCAGTTTTCAGAAACAGAGGGGCAGCTGCTTCTCTCTGTAAAAATGGGGGAGAAAACCTTGTTACCCGAGGGCTTTAAAGCAATTGTACCAATGCCTGTGGTCACCAGATAAATCACAGGACTGAAGTGACATTCCCCTCTGTGTAGGGCTCCCAAAGTCTGAAGTTGCCCCTTTTCTCCTGGCCCAGAGTTCTTCAAGGTGAGTTGGAAGACCTTCATCATAGCTCTTGAGTTGCTTTTTGGCTACGAGATTGTCACAGTATCACTGGCAGGGAAATGAATTCTTAGGCAATTGTGTTGCTTCTGTAATCAACTGGAACATTTTCCAGTCTAGAGGGTTCAAATCACACAGCTTTGCTTTCCCATTAGAAAACTCATTTCCTTTCCTGTTCAGTTACTTCAGACACACTTCAACATAGTAATAAGGGATTATCCCCTGTGCAGCTGAGCACGTGTTCCTGAACAGGACTTAGGAAGCAGTCTGGAACCAGGAATGCTTTTATGTTGGGTACTTAGTCTCCCTTGAGGAAGAGAAGGTAATTGTAATTTAAAGAACAAACATAACCAGGAACTCCCCAGTGACATGCCAGAGGGAACACTTCCCCTGTGGAAAACACCTCTCCAGGGGGTGCTGGTGGCACAGGTCTGAAACCTTGCCATTTTCTGTGGGAACACCCAGCCTGTCAATGGGTGGAGATGGTGTGTGGCAGAGGGGATTTGATCTTCTTCCTGCAGCATTGCCCCAGCTCATACTTGGTGCCTGTTTGGAGGGAGGTGTTCTCTGCCAGGCTGCAGTTGGCCTAGAGGTGGATGAGTTCAGAGAGGTTTATAGACCAGTTTCTGACTCTGGTGTGTGCAAATGGTTTTACTTTCTTGGTGCCTCTGCCCCAGTCCTTCCTATGCACCTTGATGCAACTCCCACAGTAATGTGTCCCCACATCCCTCAGTGTTGCCCCAGAGACTGTGGTGGCACCTTTGGATGTCAGCATGCTTCTACTGTAGATTTTGGCTCTTGCTCCTTGTGACCCTGCTTTTCCATGCACTATTTCTTTGTGGCTTTGTTTTCAGTATACTTATGCTTCTTTCTGTCTCCATTTTCTTCCTTTCACCCAGTTTCATTTCTTCACTCATGAAAAATATTCTATATACCTGACCATCGTGATAGGATTCCCCAAATGGGCTCAAATTGATTGGCCTTTTTTTTGAAGAAACCTGTCATAGCTTATCTTAATGGCTTTTCTGCCTTTTGCATGAGGTAGAAGGGTTTAGGGGAAGGTAGGGCACAGCACTAGAGCAGAGGAGGGAAGTGTTTCATGCTTAACTGAGCAACCCCTTGGTTTAGAAGGAGAGATGGTAGGTTGGATTGCATGCTACTGACTGCCCTGATCTGGAGTTGAGAATGTAATTCCAGAAGCTGTTGAAGTGTGATGCTCATTCTCTGATCCCCCTCTCTGATTCTTCCAGTTGTTCATAGACTCCTCCGGATCCTGATACCAGCTTGTCATTTGAGTTCACTGATGAACGGAGAATTTCCAATGACAAGGGACTCTTTCTCTTCCTCTCCTGTATATAGAATAAGAATGTTCCCTGCTAGCACTTGGACTCGGGTCCTTCTGCCATGGGTGAACGAATGCCATCTCCATTGTTGCTTTTTTAATACCCATCTTTCCCTTGCTAACCAGGCTGTGTAGTGTGTGTGTGTGTGTGTGTGTGAGGAACAAAGCTCTTGTGTGGGATGAGTGGGCTTTGCTGTGGGATTTGGTGTTGTGAACTCAAGTGCGTGGTGGTGGCTGGGTGTACTTTGTGTTCACACTGATGCCTGCGTAGAAGTTTGGCAGTCTTGTGCTTCTGGTTTGAGCATCTGATTTTATGAATGATCAACTTACACAAGTGTCACTCTGCTCCTTTCTCATAAACATGAGTGTATAGACACATGTCTTCACATATAAACACCACATGGTCAATTTTTTTTTTTTTTTGCACAGGAAGGTTTTCCTGCATATAATTAAGGACACTTAAAGCAAGGCTTGCCATCCTGCCTCTGTACTTAGCATTTATGCAGTCTGCTGTGGAAGTCTTTATTGCCAAATATATAATTTTGGGAATTGAAAGCTACAAACCATCCAAGGTCCTATCTGTGTGCAATGAAGGACTGCGTTCAGGATTTGACCTGGGGAAGAAATCTGTGAAATTATTCCTGCAGAAATTTAGGCTCTTCAGTTTTAAAGCAGTTTGGTAAAAACTGTAGGTGGAGGAGCTTAGGCAAGCTTGAAGGAGAAATAATAAAGTTTAAGTGAGAATGACTTAACCATTGAAAAAATATGTTGAAGGCATTAATGGTTCTCTATTTTTTGGTACATCTAAGGAAAAGGATGTGAGGGGTCAGCATCACTTTGAGCAATAACTTCACACAGATGTATGACTCAAATTATTCAAGAGGTTGGAGTAGCTGATCTCATGATTTATGACCTTCAAAATGTAAGCTTTTACCTTCATGTCTTTTTGAGTAGTGCTGTGGATTGCAGGTTATCTCTCTTTCCTGAGCTGTTTGTTTGAACTCTAGCATTTAATATGGGCAGAAAATAGGAATCCTCCGGGAGAGACAAGCCCAGCTACCTGTGCCCAGCTGGTGGGTGCTGAGACATAGGTGTAACACTGGTCTGAACGTCAGCATGGGTGTGTGAGGGACCTGGTGGGTGAGTGTGAGAACAGATAGATGGGCTTTGACACATCCCTGTGCACCACTGGGTCTGACTGTGTGCAGAGATGAGGCTGTGAGTGTGTGTGTATGTGTGTGTGTGTGTGCAGTCCCACCCAGCAGTGCACACTCGTGCTGTGTTCTGGAGGGGGACGTGTGGATGTGTGTCTGTGCAAGCACGTGTGTGTGTGTTCCACCTTCCTGACAGTCTGTGTGGCCTCTGCCTTGCCCTGTCTGAACTGCCATGTTGATTTCGTGTTGTCTTTCAGAATCACTATCAGTGACCCCTGAGGACTGGCAGCCACGGTACGTTCTGCACTCCCCCTGCGATGCATGAGCTGTTGTGTCCCCACCCTCCATCACTCTGCAGCTCACCTCTGCTGCCCAGTTCTTGTGTTAGTAACAGAGTCCCTTGTCCAATGAACCACCTCTGCCAGGATCTCATAAAGGGAGGAGTCTTGAACAGAAAAACTGGCTGATCAGAGACAGAGCAGCTGCTTGAGCTGCAGGAGCTGGGAAAGCCTCAGTACCTGATTTAAGGTCACCAGAGGGCTCTTTCTCTGCTTCTACGGGATGGGGAAATGAGCTCTGGCATCGTCCAAACTCTGTGTCTTTCATTTGGCTTATATCCACACTGACTGGGGGATCAGCTGAATAAACTCTGGTATGATTTGGTCTGTCAAGTTAGGATCAAGACAGAGGCTTGGGGAGCTGTTAGTTCAGACTCCTCTTCTTATATTCTAATGTCTGGCTGGAGAAGTACTCCCATCCTCCCTGTGTCCCTAGTGCTTGTGGAAGTCAAGAGGAGTTTGGGTCATTAATATCAGGACTTCCATGTCTGAGTGCAGGGTAACTCTGACATTGAATGTTCCCTGTTATCCTTGTGTCCCATCATCAGTTAGAAATGAACTCCCTTTGCTTGTTCTCCCCTTGACCCTTTACCTTCTAGGTTACTCTTCTGCTTCTATTCAAACTGCCTTCTCTCCTCTGCCTCCTGCCCCTGGAACAGGAAGGGTTTAATGATCTGTGTCCCCCCCAAACACTCTGCCCTGAGCTCCTGCCTGTTTTCCTTTCCTCTCTCTCCCTGCATTTTGCTGGTTGTACTGGTTCAGCGCAGGGTGCTGGGGCAGGTGTGTGTACGTGCTGTGTACAGCTCTCCCTGCTAATGCTGAGTGGGGGTGTGAAGAGGGATATTAGCATATTCTCCTGAGTCTTTTCCTTGGGAACCTCCAGTCCTTATTGACAAGGGGTACAGAAGGCAGAACAGGGCAGATGTGGGGCTTTTTGGGCTCCTTCTCCCTTTCTCTGTGGCTGTTTTGTGACAGAGGAGTGGAGCAGCAGCGGCTCCTGCAGACTCCCTTTGCTGCTGGTTGTGGCAGAGAGAACTGAGGACGAGGGGCATGTGCTGAAATCCTGCCTTAATAGGACAAGCAGAAGTTCAAGCCCCTGTTCCAGGGCAGGGAGGGTCACATCTTGCAGTAGATGGTGTCTGTTACTGCTGCACATAACTGCAGTTAGAGCTGAGAGCTGCCACATCACATCAAACCGATGCAGTGATTGCTCATGATTGACATCTTTGAGGACGTCATCCCTCAGCCCTCCTCACTGATGACACACTGCAGAGGTGTTGGAGCAATCAGCAGTGTCCTCCAAAACTCTGCCTACTGCAGGCATCCCTGACAGCCCTGGAAATGTGCATCCTGGTGAACAACCTCAGGAAGGAGCCTTGCTGTTGTCTGTACCTCGTTCTGGGACTCGCTGTTACGGGGCGTTCTGTTCTTGATCTGGCATAAAGAGCACCAAGGAAATAAAAATGAAAAAAACCAAAACACCACCAAAAAAAAACCCCCAAACAAACAACCCAAAAAATTACACCCAAAACCTTTTGCAGTCCAAGGGAATAAATGTAATGTTTACCACCTCTGTTAGATCCTTATCAGCAGAACTCCCTATTAGCCCAATGGTCCCTAGACATGATTAGCTCAGTGTTTTCTCTGGGTATGGCCTGAAAGACTGACTTCAAAGAATGTGACAGTCACTGTAACTCATCTCCTTAGGCTCCTGCCAGGACTCAGATCTTCCTTTTCATGTACTGGAGACAGTCACAGGCTTCCCTGTGAGCAAAACTTTTGTTCCTTTTCCTGACAGAGGAAAGTGACTTTTCAGTGATAGAAAAAGGCTTGACTAGCAATGAAGTCAGACTGAAGGAGCATTTCAGGGGTAAATGTTGCCTGAGAGACTTCCCTGTCCCTTTTAGTGCTGGGAAACAGTTTTCAGCCTTTTCTAATCCTACCAGGCAGATTCTGCAAACATCTCCACAAAACCTCAGGAGAAACAAAACCTATAAATTTAAAAAGTTGACAGCCCCTCCCTCTAAAATGCTTTGAGTGCTGAGAGGAATAAGTGTCTGCAAAAATCAATCCTAGTACATTATGAAAAAGCAGCCCATCTACCTGCAAATTACTTGTACTTCAACTGACCACTCTTGCCAGAACATGTGACATAATCTGGTGACTTCGAGCATCCTTTTCACGTAAACCCACAGCGGCTTTTAGCACAGCCTGTCCAAACTCCTGAAATGCAAACAGTCCTTCAACCTTCTCAAGAAATGCCTTCTAACATGTGATGGTGCAACAGCATCTCACTAAAGCTTGAGCTGAAGTTCTGTAAGGTTTTAATTCAAGTGCTGTTGCTGTTCCAGTGAGAGTAAAGCCATCAAAGGGTTGGTGTGGCTGCACTTACACTGTGAGCACCCTTAGAGATAATGCACAGATCCCACATGTCATTAAGCTCAGGGTCACAGATCCCCCAGGTGTAACATCCCATTGCAATTTTTACTTCTGGACAATAGTATTATTTCAGCATCCTTCCAAGGAGATTGTAATTTCTGGGTTAGATTAATCCCATTGTTATTTGCTGTACAGGAGCAGTAACTTGATTGCCATGCTGATAGTGGGGTCGCGCAGTCCCCATTGACTTTTCAGTCAAGGAAATAACATTTGAAAGTGGCTTTACTGTCTGAAGCTTTTTTATTCTTATGTATTATTTCCCAAGGCAAGGGACAAGTGGTTGTAATTGTTTTGAGATCTGGGGCTTAATAGATCTGGAGCAATAGGTTCTGCTGAGGTTTAATAAACAGGACTGGAGAATTGTTCTGGTTAATTTGCGAAGATGATGGAACTTGCCCCAATTGATAGGGGTGTAACTCCTCTGGTACCAGAGTGATTATAGATTTGCAGTCAGTGCAAAGCAAGACTTGTCTACTGGTGCAAATATCCTCCTTCTCTGCTGCTCTTCCCTCTCTCCTCTCAGCCCCAGTGTCAGGGGAGGGCTTTAATTTCCAGCAGTCAATTGATTCTCTGTAATCTAAATTAAAGCTTGTCAGTGTAGAATTGAGGCTTTAATTCTGGGACACCTGGTCCTGTATGATCAGTGCAAGGGCTCCCTTCAATTTGGTCTGTATGCTGTTGGATTTTCTCTTTGCATTTCAGACAGTTCGGACCTTAAAACTACTCTGGCTTGGTACTGAACAATTTAGTCCATCTTAATGAAACACCATCAAGGTTGCAGACACTGCAGGGAGCACACTTTAAAGGAAAACCACAGATTGGACTCGCTGTCTTACAGAACACATGTTTATTTATAGACTTCTTAAAGCCTGCATTCTGAGCCCAAAGTAAATAAATAATTTGAAGTAATGAGCTGAGAGACATGGCAGGGGTGTTGTCTTGTATTTTTTTGTTGTGGCTTTTTTTCCCCCCCACCAGTCCCTTACAGGAAGGAGAGTCTAGAACACTTAATCCATACAGAGGGCAAACACTTAAGTTGCTGCCCATTTACATAGCTGAAGTACCAGCAAAAGGGCTGGAACAGAAGGGAGTAGCAGTAACCAAAGTTCCTTTTATTGAAATAGAAGCTGCATTTGCTGAGTGCCAGAACTAGAAAACTGAAACAGTGAGCTTGGCCCTGACATCCAACATCAGTCTCCTGTGCCAGAACAGGGAATCTCAGGCTTGCAGTAGCCTCGAGGGCAGGGGAAGAAGGTGCTTCTCCAAACCAGCCAAGAACCTCTGCCAGCAGCACGTCTCAGAGGGCCCCATCCATGCTGTGTGACTGTCATGTGCTTGATACAGGAGCTCACTGTTGTCCGTGCTTCTCCACACTCATTCCAGAGCCAGTGCACTCACTGGCAGTAAATCTCTGCACTTCCAAATTTCAGAGGGGAAGCAAACCTGGCTGTGCAGGGGATGGGATTGCTTTACAGGTGATCTGTTTTGTGCAGAAAGGCCAGTGCGAGGCCTGGTGCGTCTCCCGCGTGGAGTTTGTGCCTCACGTCAGATTCTCTCGCTGGCTCTGGCGAGGTGGAGAAGCACCACGTGTGACCGTGACTGCAACTGCCCTGCTAACCACAGTGTGTGTTCTCTTGTTTTTGTTTCCTGCTTTTTCACAGCAGAAGGGGCCCCGCCTCACCTACTCGACCCACCATAATCCGACCGGCTGAACCGTCCCTCTTAGATTTATAACTTGAGGCTGTAGACAGCTGGCGACGAGCGCCGTGCCGGCGGCTTCCCCATCCCACCCTCCCTTCCTCAGCCACAGTCACTCCTCTCATCCATCCCACATCTCTGCCTCCCGCCACCCCCTTCCCAGTGTGTTGTAAAAAACACTAGTGATCGAGCTCTTCGTCTTCGCTCGTGCGTCCTGTATTGCTTTGTGAGCGTAGAGTAGCCTTCATTCAGTGGCATGGATCCCTGAAGTACACAGGCTCCTTGGAGAGAGCAGCCACAGGGGCACCCTTAAGTCCAAGTGGTGGCTGTCCGTCCAGTAATTCCATCTGCCTGGTCTAGCCTGGATAAGTGTCCTGCCTGCACCACTTAGTTGTAGCACCCGGGACTGATCTGTAGCTATTTTCTTTTCTTGTAGTTAAGACAAAGGCGTGACTTAGGGAAAAAAATAAAAACACATGCTGTCGAAACACGTGACACCGCTAGGAACAGATTAGATGTCCTGTGTATTAGTTTGACTTCTAAGGTGCAAAATTTCATGTTGGGAACAGTGCAATCAACTTTTTATCAAAGTGAGGCAGGGAGGGGGGGAATGAACGGATCTAGTCCTGCTCGAGTGAAGTCTGAGATAGCGCACACACCTCAGCGTGCAGGAGCACACAGACCTGCTCGGCTCCCCAGGGCTGGGGAATTCCTGCTGGGGACACACTGGCTCCTGCCAGCAGTTGTCTTGCATCATCATTTTTGGCTGACTTTCCTGACACCCCAGCAGGGCGAGGGGAATAGACACGCTGCTCCCCCCTTGCACATGGACAGCCAAATGTTTCAGGGAGTTCGCTGTGTGATGTTTTGTTGAAAATATTTCTGCTTTGAATAAGCACATCTTTCAGTGTTTTTGGGGTACTGTGGTGACTTTCTTCCGTAGCCTTTTTCTTGCATGTGGATGGTACGTGTTTGGGGAAACTTGTAACCGTTGTTGATCACAACTCATCTTAAGGTTTGGTTTTTACTCTTCATGCTACATGTATTAAAAAAAAAAAAAATACTTGAGAATTAAAAAAATATATCAACCCTGTACATCTCAGATGTCATGTCTCTACCAGAGCTGAATGAGCCACCTGTGTTCCAGGCTTTCCTCCAGGCCTGATTCACGTTGAAGTTCTCTCGTTTCAGTGCTATTGCTCTTAATTTCTGTTGTGGATCCTCTATTGTTCTGACACCAGTTCCTTTCTGTATTTTAACTATTGTTTTACTACTTCTCCTCCTTTTCCTTCCCTTTCCCTTCTTCTTTGTTTTTCTTGTCTTTAACGTCCAGCCGGCCGGGTAAGGCCAGTCCCGCCCGCCCGGAGAGCCCAAAACCACCATTTGACATGTAGTCCTGCTCCCTCTGAGACTCTTTGCCTGCTCTTAGCTGTTCTGTCCTGGAATGGTCTGACTCCAATCTCACACATGGCTTGTTTTCTTTGTAATTTGTGACACACACATATCAGATGTGATTGTAGTGAAACTGTTTTTTGGGGGGGTTTTGTTTGGTTTTTTTTTTCTTTTTTCTTCCCAGCTGCTTAAAGGAGTTAAACAAGTATATTGTAGTAATGAGAAACATATCTTTACTGTTATAAATATCTATAAATATATATATAAGATGAAAAATCTATATATGTCCAGGTGTTTAAAGCCATTTGTGCTTCTATGTGAATTTTAGGAAATACTCCAGTAGGAAAAGAATATCTATATACATATATATATACACAAACACATCCAAAAAGTTAACCAAATCCCAATGTTGAGTTTTTGAGCTGATTGTTAAATTCTCTGCTGTGTGCAGTTGGGTTATTGTATTACCCCAGACTTGTGGGTGAACTGTCTCAGTGCTGGTAGTAGCTGTGATGCAGTTTGTGATCTACCTGTCACTCTCGTTTATTGGATGAAATAAACTCTCATTTCTGTATAATGAAGGTCTCCACGACTAGAATAAAACCATCTCTCTTTCTCTGGGTGATTTTCAAGCTGTGTTTGATTATAACCTAATCTTTTCATCTCATAGAGTTTCATGAGCTGTACATGCAAGCAGGTGCTGTCACTAATAGGGAAGGTGGAGAAGATCTGCAGCAACAGTGGTGTCCAGGAGCTGCAGTAGAGTGAAACAGCTTGTCAGGTGCAGAAGGTAAATCCCTTTGTAGGAGAAAATGTGTGGAGGTGCTTCAGGGGTGGGACATAGAGAAGGTGGGAGTTTTGCATACAGATTGCTTCTTGAAAAGCTCCTTCAAGATTTTATTCATAGTAGCCACTGAGTTGAGTGAATAGACTCCATCTCTAGTGATTCCTTCCTGACTGTTCCATCTATAGGTATTGCTTGCCCTACCCTGTCCTCCTTTTTTTTTCCCCCTCACCGGACCTGGTCCATCTATCCCTGGTGTTACACACAGGGCTGTTACATAGTTTTGCCTTCAAAAATATTCTTTATTTATTCAAGTCAGTATTAGAGCCTTATTTTGCAAAACTAGAAACCTGATTGTCAGGGGTCAAGTATGTCCTGATGAGAATACCAGCTACCTTGCCCAGGCAGGATAAATCCTATCCCCTGCTCTCCAGCCTCATCCAAAGTGTCCTTTTTTCAGTGGAGCAGCTATTTCCTGTTGTTTGGTGCTTGTGGCCTTTAAGAAGCATTTTTCTATTTCTTCTCAAATCAGAGGTGCAGAGCCAGTGCAGTTTCTCCAGTTTAAAGCTGTTGGGTGGCAGCTGAACAGTAGTTGCTGCTCTTGGTTCACTCCAAGCAAAGGTGAGGTCAGGGAAATGCTCCTGAAGGGAAAAAGGTAAAAAATTAATCTGAAGCTGGGGTCTGGATGTGAAATGTTAGCCAAGAGAAACCTCTCAGCAGTCTGGCTACAGAAAACATTCATGAAAGCTCGTCACTGTCAGGGCAGGTGCTTTCAATAAAGAATTCATTCTTCACTTACCTTTTTCTGGCCTAATTTCAAGGTGATCTGTGCAGAAGAAATACATCTAGTCAGTGTCCCTCTGAATAAGTTTATTCAGAAAGCAAATTTGTAACAGGATTAAGTCACCTCTGCAACAGACCACAGACTTTCTTCACTGGTCTTGTCTCCTTCACAGCACTAAATTCCCAATAAAGATTTATTCCATTTACAATAATGCTCTGTATTAAATCACAGCCCTTCCCCTATTAGTTATGATACAGATTTATGAATGGCTGGAGCAGGCATGAACACTGCAACAGGCTTAGTCTCTCTTCAAAGAATATACAGCATTTTACACAGATACAGTATGTACACACCCCCACTGCTGGGAACTGGGGAGCCCAGTCACTTGTGCTGTGATAGACTGACACCACTCCTGCCATTCAAATGGAGTTCAGAAACCTGCTTCCATCTTCCCCTGGGGGCTCACAGGAAAGCACTAAGTGTGCTCTGTGCTCTTTTTTCAGTTGCATATGGAAATATTGAGATGGACCATTTGAAAAAAAAACAACCCCCACTTAATCTGCCTCTGGCAGTAGAAGAAAAGCTCTCTGTCACGCTGGTGTAAAGCTTCACCAGCTTGGATGTGAAGAAATGAATGGTCTCTCCTGTTGAACAAACACAAAAATTAATTCTGTGTTCCTGTGCTTGCCTCTGTATCTCCACAGGTAACAGGAAGGTGGTGGGTGCTGCTTCAGGCACCAGCCCAGGCTCGTGTTTGATCACACAGCTGGGCTGATCAGGTCCCTTGAACCTCACCTGTGCTTTCCCTTAGAACTCCATTGCTGAAACCAGCCCTCCTGAGAACAGTTTTTGCCTGAAGGCAACTTCGGTAGCAGGATATTCACATGCAGTTCACTTCACCACTTCCACACCCAGATTTGTTTTGCTTCTGTTTCGGGGAGCTCTCTCCTCCCTCCATGTTTTGTTTTCTCCTCAGAATCAGGGCTGTGGCTTCAAGGCAGTGCCAGGTGCTGATGTGTCCCAGAAACTTACACTTGGGCCACAGGATCTTGGTTTCCACCCCTCTACTGCACTCCTTACCAAAATGGGAGAAGAGGAAAGCTCAGGGATGGAGAACTAGAACCCCTAAGAGTCCAGAAATTCAAAACGAAGCATGTTTATTAAGTGGTTTCCTTTTACTTATTTCTCCCATTTCTTAAAATAAATAAAACCTTCAGACACATACAAGTGAAACACATCATCCTTCAAAGTGCAGTTACATTTCCACCCCACTCCCAAGAATCACATAAAGCTTTGTCAAGTAACCAAAACCCCCCCAAGGCCCCCCTCAGTCCCTTCCCCTGGCAATGAGAACACACAGGGCTGGAGGTGCTGCCCTGGAGCCGCTCGCTGGGGGCTCAGAGACTGACGAGCCTGTTCCAAATACAGGTGCAAGAGAGAGGCTGCAGCAGGAAGGGGGGAGTTTAAGATACGTAGTATGAAACAAACCCAACCTGTTAAAGAGTCCAAAGAGTCCATAACCAGAACAAGTTAGTTACTCTGGGAACCCTGGAAGGAACGAGGCTGATGACAGTCATTAGTGACAGATCTGAACCATGGCTCAGTCACGGCTGTGGCAGCAGAGTCTGGGACAAGGGATTAAGTCATTTTGCCCAAAATCATGGACTCCTTTCCCCTCAGCCTGGACCTGGCCCAGGTGATGTGCCAGCACCAGCTGCCTCCCAGGATGAGTTAAGAGTCTGCCTGTACTCCAAGCACACCAAGTAACAGAGAAAAGAGAAAGAGAAGATGAGGTCTGATGCTCGAGTTCCATCTGATGCAATCTCTCTTTACTGATGTCTTTAGGAATCTGTTCTGACCAAGGGCACTGAGCAGAGGTATGGGCACGTACAAGTCAGTTTTAAGTCCTTTCAGGCCCATGGAAAATTGCTGTCAGTCAGATTTAGCACCACTTAAACTACCATGATTTTGACCTCATCGTTCTCATCAGCACGGTAGAAGAAGGGAATGCACGGGTTTTCGGGCAGGGAGCCCAGCCTCTCCTGAGGGTTCTGGATTTCTCTGAGAAGCTGCATTATCTGCTTTGCCGTGGGGTCCTCTTGGTTTGGCTGAGCAGCTTTACTGTCGATAGGGGGGAAACCGGATTGATGAAGAACAGCAGCCTCTTGTTCCGCCTCCTCTGACAGGTTCACCTCTCGTAACCCTGTAAGGAACACAGACAGGGCAGGCAGGTAACTCCTCCCATCCTCACACAACACTGACTCCAAGGGCCATTCCATGCTCAGAGCTGGTCCTGTAGCTCACCTTCTCCGTCGGTGGCATTGAGCTCGATGCGCCTCTCCGCTGGCAGCACTGCTCCCGCCTGGCTGCCCAACAGCTCTGGGTTTTGAGCAGCTGCTACATACTTGCTGTACCACTCATTTCTTTCCCTGACCAGGCGCATCACCAAATCCTGCAGTTCCAGTAGTTTCATCTGCACCAAAGGAAAGGAAAGCCCATGAGATGTTCACCCAACCCAAACACACCCCTGCAGTCTGCAGTCCTACCCCTGTCGCAAATGAACAGCGTGTGAAGGTTTGGACTGTTCAAGTGCTCCCTGGGCCCCCCCTGCTTGGAGCAGTATCACAGGAAAGATTCCTTGCCTTCATCTCTTCCTTATCCTGAGCCAACCTGCTGATATACTCCTCCTTCTCCTGGTGCCTCTGTTTGAGGATAGCCCTTTGACTCTGGTACAGCGCAATGTACTCCCCTGGAAGACAAGAGTCAGGAGTGTCAGCAAGACTGAGGTACAAGTCTTATGGTGAGTACAGTTATGTGGCATGAGGATATAGGAAACCCAGCACTGAATTGGAGACCTAGCCCAGTTAGGCAGCAGTAGGAGACAGGAACTGCTTGGTTGGAGGGCTCCAGCTCCAAAAGCTGTTGGGGACCTTCTGCTCCACATGTAACACACTGAACAAACTTTAGCCTGTGCTGGTGCTGCCTGAACATACCAATGGTATCTGTTTCCCCAGACAGTTGGATGCAGCGGTGCTCCAGCTCCTCCAGACGTTCCTTCAGATCAGCCTTCTCGTGCATCAGCTCTGTGAAACGCAACTGAACACAGAAACTGGGGTCAGTCACATACAGACAACACCTGTGCTAAAGATAACACCCCCTGACAGTGGTCTGAGCCTGGGGAACAAACCCTGCTCCTTTACAGCTTGTTTCCAATCTCATGCTAAAAAGGAACAGAGATAGAGAAAGTGTGAAATGCCATCTCTGCATGAAACAAGGTGTCTTTTACCTTCTCATTGCTGGGGCAGCACAGCTCTGGTCATACTCAGCTCCTGGACTGCAGACCACCCGCTTCACCCCAGCAGGGTGAAGAGTCTGTTTTCAGCTATTTCTTTAGGAAAAGACCACAGGTCAGTGTGGTCACTCCACAGCCTCTAGGGGTGGGAGGGCAGTTACTGCTGCAAGCTTTCCTGTGCTGAGACAGGCTGTGATGAGCTTTTTAGGAAGGAGCTTCTTATTATGGAACATCTGCTACTTATTCCCCTACAATCTGTGTGCTGTGTTTGTCTGACACTGGATCCAAGTCTGGTTGAGCAGAGCAGCAGAGCTGAAACAACGTGAGATCCTTTGCTTTACCTGTAGCTTGTCCATGGCAGTTTTCAAAGCCTCGTGAACCTCCACTGGAACAGTATCCATAACGGAACCTGGAGGGGAAGTGTGCAATGTACAGTTCCTCCTAGGGCAGGATGCACTCACAGGCACAGTACAGAGCAGCCATAGCCAGCTGGCCCAGGCACAGCTCATGGTCACACTGTCCCCAAACTGTGCCAAAGTTTTACCTCCATCCAGCGCGATGTGATGTTGCTGCTCCTGCCTGAGAGCTGTGATCTGCTGCAGGAGGGTTCTGCACTGCTGCTTCTGAGCAGCCAGCTGCTGCCTCAGGCCTTGTCGCTCCTGCTCCACTTGGGACATGGCAGAGGTCACGAAGGTGACCTAAGAAGAATTCCAGAGTGTGCACATTAGTGCTTCCCCTGTGTTCAGCGGGGTCAGTGGTG